AAATTGAACCATGAATGAGTGAAAATGGTAAGAGTTGCTGGTTTAAAGCCATCAGTTATTTCTCCACTAAAAGTTGATTTATCAACGAGTCTCGTCTTATACTTACTTATCAAAATCTAGGATCCAGCGATGACCTTGCGTCTACCGATTCGTCATTGTTGAAGGTTAGACCTATCATTAGCTCTGTAGACGAACAAATAAGATAGCGTGGTTTTTAATCTTGATAATTACCCAGTTGTTAAAACACATTCGGGCACGTCTTACGAACACTCAGATGTTCCTGGATCGTCTACGTAATACGGGTCCCAACGGCGAGTACGTGATACAGTATTTCGACGTTACCGCACTTTATACCAACGTGTGGAATGACTCCCCTATGCAGGCCGTTTTCGAACTTCCTTTAGAACAAGAAGCAGCAGTTAATATATATGGCTTCACGGTACAGCAGTTGACAGCACTTTTCAAACAATACTTGAACTGCTCAGTCTTCAAATGGTCCAGAAGGTAGTGCGATGAAATGGGAAGACTGGCAAGAGGATATGGACTGGCTCCAACCCTTGCCATTGCATTATGCCAATGGTGGAAACACTAGCAATCGATTTTCGGCTATTGCTTTATTGTGGATATATAGGTGTCTACTTTGTTATTTGTTCAAGAAAAGAGGAAATGGGCAAATGTCTCGAGTTGTTGAATGAACAATTAAAGTATTTTAGCTTCATCAGAGAGAAACCGACCGAAAATTTGCCTCCACATCTGGACGTTCGAATTATCCTCGCGAAAACGGCTACAGTACGAAATGGTAGAGAAAACCAAGTAATAAAAACATCTTGGTTCATTACCCCTCCTCTCACCCCTCTCACACGAAAGGTAGGCTTATAAGAAGCATGAGCATATTTCGAACGGCCACCAGGGTGTGCACAGGTAGACAACAGAGGGAAGAATCCCGGAAACAGGCACTGCAAATAGCCAGCTTCAATGGCTACCAAACGGCAGCTTTTCATGGTAGGTGCAGAGAAAAACCGAGGACCTCAAACTATAACATTTTAACAAACTATAACTATAACAACAACTATAACATTTAACATTTTAACAAACTATAACACCGCACTTTATACAAGGGTATCGAATGACTCCGCTGTGTAAGCGACTCTCGAACTCGTTCTTCATCGAGGAGGAGCAACAAATATATATGGCCTCACGGTGCAGCAGTTTATGGAACTTTCAAATATTGCTTGAACTGCTCAATCTTCAGATGTCTCGGAAAGTAATGCGCTTAAATGAGAACGTTGGCAATAGGACATGGACTGACATCAACCCTTGCCATTGCTTTGTGTCTGTGGTAGAAACACTAGTAACCGATCTTCGACCATTACTCTACTGTAGATATATAGGTGACTGCTTTGTCATTTATTCAGCGAAAGAGGAGGTGGACAAATGTTTCGAGTTTTTAAACGAACAGTTAAAGTATTTTGGGTTTATCAAAAAGAAACCGACCGAGAAACATCAGAGAGAAAAATTTGCTTTCACATCTGAGCGTTCAAATTATCCTTTCAGAAAACGGCTACAGTACGAAATGGTAGAGAAAGCCGAGTAATAATAAAATGTTTGTTCATTACCTCTCCTTTCACCCCTCTCACACGATAAGGAGGCTCATAAGTTGCATAAGCATGTTTCCAAGGACCACCAGGGTGTGCACAGGAAGGCAACAGAGGGAAGAATCCCGGAAACAGGCACTGCAAATGGCCAGTTTCAATGGCTACGAAGCAGTAACTTTTCATGGTAGGTGCAGAAAGAAACCAAAGCACTCAAACTATGGTAGATCAACTATTTGCGACTAAAATCAGTTGTTCTAAACTTCCTCATTGGAAGTCACGTAAAAAGCGGCTCTGAAGAAGGCGATACTGCCGAAACGTCAGCTAGTGTTGTATTGTATTGTGTTTTTTTATGGAAATAAATGCATGTTGTTTAGAAACTTTGCGATTGGTAAACAAGAAAACGACGAATTGAAGTAATTTTATAGGAAATACGTCCAGGCTCTGAGGAAGGCGAAGTCGCCGAAACGTAAGCCATTGACCAACAACATCAACAACAATGTCAACGACAACGAAGGCCTATAGCAACCTCGCATCAGCTAAAGCTCAGTTCATAAGATCATATAAACAAGTAATATAAGAATTACTTGATCATTGCCGGGGTTGGTAGAAAGTCGGTCGTGTGAGTAGTCGGGAACGGCCGATAGTGAAGATTGATTCCGATACAAACTGCAATGCTGTAGGAGAGCCATCAGCCGCTGGATTTCACACTCTATCTCGTTCACATCACGTAGACCTCCAACAGGAACGTTATACTCCACGGTGACACGCAATAAAAGGCGCGAACTTCCTTGTGTCCCTTGAGCGAATAGAATAAACGAAGCTCGAGATAGAGATGAACGATGGAGGAAACCCTAAAGTAATGACAGTTGTTCTGTGATTGACGAAGTACAAAATTTATGGATGACGTCTGATGAAAGATACCTAAAATCGTCGGAACTACAAGACCTTGTGTGGAGAAGTACAAAAACATGTATGATCACGAAGGTAGTAGCCTTTGAGGAATTTACGATGCCTCACAGTCTTCTTTAACATCGCTTTCGTGCATGCTAAATCTCTATCTAAGTGGTTGTACACAATTTTAGAATGCGTGGGCAGAATTCCAGGTCAGATCGGAAAGCAATTTGCTTGTAGCCGCGCCTTTATTTGGATGTTCACAAATAAGTGAGCGTTTTGAAATACTTTTTCTTTTAATGTATTTTTTGCCAACAAAATATTTTTTGTACCTTGCAATGTTTTTAAAAAGCCTATTTTGTGTTTTTTGAACATTTTTTATACTTTGTCAAAACTTAAATCGTTTTTCCATTTTTGAGCTTCGCAATTGTGGATGTTAAAACGAATTTTCGTCAAATGTTTTTTCACGAGTTCAAACTCGGTCGTAGTGCAGAAGAGACGGCTCGAAACACTAATAAAGCTTGGTGTGAAGGTAGTGTTGGTAGATCAACAGTGGGAACATAGTTCTGGGAATTACGATCTGGTGACCTGGAAGATAAGGGAGGCTGCGGATTTCCCAATGAACTTGATGACGACCATTTGTAGGCACTAACAGAATCAAACACGCGAACAACTGTTCGAAAGTTTGCGCTACAGCTTTGTGTAAGCACGGGAGCAGTTTCCATTCTAATCGCATAGAAAGGACAAAAAACACGACAAGTGGGTGCCGCACGAATTAAATGATAGTCAAAAATTCGCAGTAATTACGTGTCGCCTGCTCTTATTCTTCGCAACCAGAACGACCCTTTTCTTGCTCGAATTGTGACATACAACGAGAAGTAGATTCTGCCCCTTTTCTTGCTCGAATTGTAACATACAACGAGAAGTAGAGATTGTGACCGGGGACTTCAGCTCAATGGTTGGATTGCGGTCAGGTTCCACAGCACTTCCCAAGCCGAGATTGCACCAAAAAAGGTTACGGTGACTGTTTGGTGGTATGCAGCAGAGCTGATTCAACACAGCTTTTCGAACCTGCGCGAAATGATTACGGCTGAGAAGTATTGCCAACAAATAGACAAAATGCACCGAAAAATACAACAACAGCGACCGCCATTAGTGAACTGAAAAGGACCAATCGTTCTCCAGGCTAACTCACGGCTTCATGCTGCGGAACAAGTGCTGCAGAAGTGAAACGATTTGCGCTACGAAAATTGGCTCATCCACCATATTCATCAGATATCTCGCCTACCGAGTATCACTTCTTCAACCAACTTGAGAACTTCCGGCGCGTGAAATGCTTCACAAACCACGATGACCCAAAAAATGCCTTCAACGAATTCATCACTCCCAAAACACCAAAAATTTTACGTAACTGTAAATTTGCTTCTTGTTAGCAAGTCTGTGCAAATTTAAAGATTTTATTTTGATTAATAATGTTTTGTTTGAGGCATGTTGTGAAATTTTAAATAGTAAAGTTAGAAACGCTTATTAATTTCTGAACAATGTAATAGCTACTCGCGGACCAGTCCGTTCCACATGAAGCACACTACATTCCTAAAACGGTAACAACCAGGCGTGGAAGATGACCAACGGAGCAATTGTCCTCTTAAGCAATAAGATAGTGCGACGTCACACTCACTTGCCATCTCCAATGGCTAGAAATAGTTACCGCACGAGATGAGTTTAGAAGAAGCGTCCTGGCTCCGTATGTTCGCATCAATTTCTGATTTGGGCTGGTGTAGCTATCAACGATATGCGACTATAAGCAGCTGTTCTAGCCTTCCTCATTGGAAGTCACGAAAAAAGCGAAGCGGTGGGTTTTTTGACAAGCTGTTGATCTTGCAATTGCCATAGAGTTTTCCGTCTTTCTGTAAATGTTACTGAAACGTTTGGCCTAGTGGATATATCAGTATGCACTTCCATGCTCTGAAGAAGGCAATACTACCGAAACGTCAGCTACTGATGCATTGTATTGTGTTTTTCTATGGAAGTAAATGTATGCTGTATAGAACCTCGCGATTGCTGAACAAGAAACCGATGCATTCATGATTCAGCGTTGCCCCTTTGGACATTTGTGAAAACAGTTTGTTCTGTTATGTTTATTTTGTCTGGATCCTTGCTAAACATTGAAAATAAGAATGACCATAAGACCATAAAAAAATTGAAATCCTAATTGTGTGATTAAGCATCATCAGCATTCTGCTAGTCCAACAATAAAATAATGTACATACAGCGAAATCCGTTTGTTATTAGACCTTAGTGCACCATCGATAAGGGTTTAATAAACATATAGTTAAAACTATTTGTTATTGAACTTTAGTGCATTATAGCTATGGAATGGGCTACCCTCAAAATCATTTTCGGTGAGCAATGGAGGGTCCGCTCTCGTGGTACTCTTGCCTCGTGATCCACATTTCCTGGAAGCTGGACGAGGAGGCTAGGGTAGACCCACCCATCTAAACGAAGTATTCACGATCAGGAAGGGCAAGGATCCTGATTTCCATCGACCTGAAAAAAAATTTTTCATAAGATCTAAGCAGATCTAATGTTGTATGAGTGACTTCTCTCTAGGAACGTACGTCAAGCCTTGGAATTGGAGTAGTCATTTCTTTGTGTAGGTGCTCAGCAAGACCTGCCGAGATCATATTCGCACATAAGTCCTTGCGGATACCGACATTGTACTTCACGATTGAGTTGAAGGCCATTTCGTAATTTTCAGTGGATTCCAACCCAAGGAGCGATGGCTTAAAAAGTCTCCTACTTATTTAAGTGCATGCAAGAAGCGCATTTTAATGCACACACCTGGAAGAAAGCTTCAGGACAACGAAAACGTTCATCTCTAATGGAAATCAATTCTCCATCAGGAAGCGCAAACGTTTTATCGACAGAGAACGTTGAGCCAGCCCTGGCCATTTCCTCTTCAAAATGGAGAGGTGTGTAACACAACTTTTTCTTAAGGTCACGTACAATTCCACGACCTGCAGTGGTGGTGGGAGAATAGCCACGTTCCGTAAGAATCCTCATTATATAATCAGTTAGTTCACTACCGCCAAGCTCAAAACGGAAGATTGCATATTTCTGGAATAAGTTAACCAGTTAACTAGATAGATAATCGGACAAGTTACCGGCAAGAATGCAGCTCGTAAATGGGAACGGCGGGAGTCACTCCGACTCCGGAGTCCAGAACCACAGGAATAGCACATTTTGAAGTGTATAAATAGAGCAAAGTCTGAATTGCAATGTACTTACCAAGCGTATTAAAAATTTCGAACATGATCTGTGTCATTTGTTCTAAGTTAGTTTTAGAGTTGAACGGCGTCTCGCTTATACGCACGCGATGTTCTTCAGGTACGACACGAGGTTCATTGTAGAACGCGTAATGCCAGATTTTCTTCATGTTGTCCCAGTTCGTCGCGATACGATATACATTCCATGATAGACGACTCTAGGTGTACTTCTGAAGGCACATAGGAGGAGCAGCACTGCTGAGAACGCCAAATCAGCTAAATTAAGTGTTTGTCGACTCGTCGTCTTCCAAGGCGCTTGGGGTGCAATGGAATGTAATAGGCAAACAACGACGTCTGCTTTACCTCCTGCTTTAAACTGGCATATTTACTTCTGAAAAGCAGAAAAGGCCGTAACCCTAGGACCACCGCACATAAATTCCCGTCAAGCAGCGTTTTATACCATACGCAATAAGAATTGAGAGAGCTGGGCATACTCTGAGAAAAATCCGAAAAAGACACGCCTAGAGCTGTTGTATTCAAAGCGTTGCCTTGGACGATTTATTTATAGGGCGATTTGTCCTGTTGCACATTTACGGCTAGCATATCCAGTGCAAAATTTTTAAGAAAAATGGCACCATAGAGTTTTCATTTCAATGCATGCCGCTGAACGTTTAACAAAGACGAGCAATGGGTGAAGGAGGGTGATAATGGTAACAGAGGACGACCGATGTTTTATACTTATATTACTAAAGAAAACGGCCAAACAATACAAATATTCTTCGTCACCGCCTCAACACCGCAGCCATCATTTAAATTTAGCAGTTGTTCAAGAACTCGCTGCTGTAGAGGTGTTCGGAAAAAATTCTGCCAAGGTAAAAGCAAATCCACGCTCACTTTACATATTCCGCAACGATTGTCGATTACCAGAGCAAAAGCTTCGTCGTCATGATGATGAATTCCGCTGTCGCTTAATGATTTAACTGTTAGTCGGTCTCTCTCTCTGCTTTTATAGGTTTCCAACACCGCTACTATGCGACACGAACGGTTTCCAAGCTGGCATTGAGAACCACGTGTGTAAACACGCCTATTGGCTGCTGATGCGGTATCTGGGAGTAAACGTGAAAATACAAGTAAGGCAAATTTCTTAACAATTTTTGAACACTCATAGCAGTAGCCTGTTGTTGTGTATGGTTCGCACTCATAAATAATAAAAGAATATTTCTTTTTGCACCACTACAGTAGGTTTTACATTGGCAAAACGCATTTTCCGGCATTGCTCATGCAAAGCGAGCGCTCTCCCCTAAGCAATACCCCGACACTTGCTCTGTCACGCAGGATAAAGAAGTTGAAAAACGCGTTTGGGCATCAAGTTCTTCACACAGGGTGTTACAATGGTTCTGTCACTAACCCAACTCACAAAATGAGTGGAGGTATAAGAAATCGAACACCAAACTTCTTGCAAGCGAACCAAGCGCTCTACCTCTGAACAATACCACTGACAATATCATTGCCATGCAGGATAAAGAAGTCAGGAAAGCGAGTTTGGGCATATCGCTTCACACACAGGATATTATACTCGTCTTGTCACTAACCCGGCTTACAACATATGTGGAGGTATAGGGAATCGAAGCCCAGACTTCTCGCATAAGGAGCGAGCGGTCTACCCTGATCCATGCCCCACGACACTGGCTTTGTCAGGCAGGATAAAGAAGTTAGGAAACCGAGTTTGGGCATCTCGTTCCACACAGAATTTCATACTGGTTTATTTTATTAACCCAGCTCTCAAAAGGAGTGGAGGTAGTGGGAATCGAAATCCGGACTTCTCGCAAGCGAAGCGATCGCTCTACCCTTGAGCTATACCCCCGAAACTGGCTTTGTCAGGCAAGATAAAGAAGTTAGGAAAGCGAGTTTGGGCATCTCGTTCTACACACAAGATTTCATACTAGTTTTTGCACTAGGCTAACTCACAAAAAAATGTAGAGGTATAGGGAATCGAACCCTAGATTTCTCGGAGGCGAAGCGATCCGTCCGCCTCTGAGTTACACCCCTGATAATAGCCTTGTCATGCAGGATAAAGAGGTTAGGAAAGCGAGTATGGGCATCTCGTACTACACACAGGATCTTATAATGGTTGTGCCTCTAACCCAGCTCTCAAAATGTGCGGTGACATGGGGAATGCAACCCCAGAACATTCGCATGCGAAGCGAGCCCTCTACCCCAGAGCTACACCACCGACACTGGCCTTGTCATGCAGGATAAAGAGGTTAGGAAAGCGAGTATGGGCATCTCATTTAACACACAGGATGTTATACAAGCTTTTTCACTAACTTGGCTCACAAAATATGTGGAGTTATGGGGAATCGAACCCCATACTTCTCGCATGCGAAGCGAGCGCTCTATGCCTGAGCTCTACCCCCGATGCTGGCCTTGTCATGCAAGATGCAGAGGTCAGGAAAGCTAGTATGGGCATCTCGTTCAACACACAGAAAGTTATACCAGCTTTCTCACTAACTTGGCCCACAAAATATGTGGAGGTATGGGAAATCGAACACCAGACTTCTCGCATGCGAAGCGAGCGCTCTATGCCTGAGCTCTACCCCCACGCTGGCCTTGTCATGCAAGATGTATAGGTTAGGAAAGCGAGTATGGGCCTCTCGTTCAGCACACAGGAAGTTACACCAGCTTTTTCACTAACTTGGCTCACAAAATATGTGGAGGTATATGGAATCGAACACCAGACTTCTCGCATGCGAAGCGAGCGCTCTACCGCTGAGCTATACCCCCGACACTGGCCATGTCATGCAGGAAAAAGGGGCTAGGAATGCGAGTTTGGGCAACTCGTTATACACACAGTGTGGTATAATGGTTGTTTCACTAACTCAGCTCTCAAAAGGAGTGGACTTTTGGGAAATCAAACCCCAGCATGCGAAGTGATCGCTCCAACACTGTGCTATACCCCCGACACTGGCCTTGTCATGCAGGAAAAAAAGGTTAGGAAAACGAGTATGGGCATCTCGTTCAACACACAGGAAATTATACCAGCTTTTTCACTAAGTTGGCTCACAAAATATGTGGAGGTATGGGGAATCGAACCCCAGACTTCTCGCATGCGAAGCGAGCGCTCTACCCCTGAGCTATACCCCCGACACTGGCCATGTCACGCAGGATAAAGTAGTTAGGAAAGCGAGTTTGGGGATCTCCTCATACACACAGGGTGTTTTATAATGGTTTTCTCACTAGCCCAGCTCTCAAAAAGAGTGGAGGTATGGGGAATCGAACCCCAGACTTCTCGCATGCGAAGCGAGCGCTCTACCCCTGAGCTATACCCCCGACACTGGCCTTGTCAAGCAGGATAAAGTAGTTAGGAAAGCGAGTATGGGGATCTCGTTCAACACACAGGATGTTATACCAGCTTTTTCACTAACTTGGCCCACAAAATATCTGGAGGT